TGAGTGAAGGAGATTCGGATAGAACCCCTCTGCATGGTGCTAACCACTATGTGTCAGACGCTGCACTGTTCTGAGCACTTTAAGTTCATTTACTCCTCACAGTAATCTTTCGAAATGGGAAATTTCATAATCCTCATTTTATCTATTAGGAAATTGAAGCCAAACGTTTTCTTTTTCTTTTGTTGGGGGGGAGGGATAGTGTTGGAACTGAGCCCAGGGCATTATGGATGCTAGGCCAACACTTCCTGGTAAGGTCTGATTTTTGGACTCATACAGTTTGGCTTTGAATTCTACTCCCTAATCTTGTGCTTTCTTTTATAGCGCATCCAGTATGCCAAGACTGACTCAGATATCATTGCCAAGATGAAGGGTACGTTTGTGGAGCGGGACCGCAAGCGGGAGAAGAGGAAGCCCAAGAGTCAGGAGACGCCATCTGCCAAGAAGGCTGTGCAGGGTGGGGCGGCAGCCCCTGTGGTGGGAGCTGTCCAGGGCCCTGTTCCGGTGAGCCAAGGCACAGACACTTCCTTTTGCCACCAGGCCTCGATTAAGCGTGACTGGTGATGGGGACGGAGTGGGGAGAATTCTTCCCTGGGGATTCAGACCCCCTCTCCTTCCTTTCTCTTACTGATGTCTCTGTTTTGGGGGTGGGGGCTGAACGGCTGGATGGTGGTGTCTCCACTTGAAATTTCCTGTTCTCTCCCTGCTGCTTAATATTTCTGGAAGTCTGTCTTTTCTTTATGTCTGGCCTGGCTTCTTTCCTCAACCTTGATTTTGCTGTCTGTCTTTTAAATCAGTGTCCATGTAGGGAATCTAAGAGAATCTAACCATTAAGATTGATAAGCGACTTTAGTTTGGAAAAATTAGTAGACAGAAGATCAATATGAAAAAGAGTTCTGTTTCTATATATTAGAAACAGGTGAGTAGAACTCATGTTGAAAAGAAGCACCGCGGTGTAAATGTAACAAAAACTGCAAAACTGTGCTGCATTGACCCAGTAGCTATGCTGGAGTAGTTGGAGACCTCAGCAGTAAATGATAAAGGTAAAATGATAGGGTTCAGGAATTGGTGATGTTCTGATGCTGTGAGTAGGAAGGTAGGCCAGCAGGACAGAGCGAAGGGCCTAGAAGCAGCTATGATTACTGGTTTCTTGATGTATGATCAAGGTACAATAGTCCTAGGTCTTGTTTTTCTCCTGAGTTTAATGAGCAAATGGGTCTGTAAGTATAAAAATTCTACCTCATAGCGCATATAAAAGTAACTTGTGCTGGTTGATCTGAGTATGACACTAAACGGTTCTAGAAGGAAACAGTGCTCAGTACTAAAGAGGCTGAGGTGGACCTACCCCTTCCAGCTCTATATTTGCATGTGTGACTCTTAAGGGCTTCATGGCTTCCAGGCTGGCCTCATGTTGCTGGAGCTGGCAGTAGTCTCTACGCTGCTGCTGGTCTTTGCTACCTCTTCTCTCCTGTGTCCACCCTTTTGTCCGTATTTAACTCGCCCCATTATAATTCTGGCTCTGGCTGAGCTGTGTACCATCAAACTGTCTTTCCACTTTTTGTTACAACCATTTCTTTCAGTACCTGCTCCTACTATCTCTTTACATCTTTGCCTTCCACGCTCCACCCCCACCTCCACCCTCATCCCCACCCCAACCCCAACAGTGCTGAGCATCAAACCTAGAGACTTGCGCATGCTACCACTGAGCCACATCAGTACCCCTCTCTGTCTTTGTTTCTCCCTAGGTGTTTGGGTCTCTTTCTTTTTTGGACTTTTATTTGTTTGATTGTTAGAATTTTTTGTTCCTGATACATGATTTCACTATGCAGTTCAGGCTAGCCTTGAACTCACTATGTATCCTTGTTTGGATTACAAGTGTGCATTACCCTGCCCAGCTTTGCTTTTGCTTTTTTAGAAGCACAAGTAGAGTGTGTATCTTAGTGTATATATCTATGCCTTTAAGCTTTGGTATTTTTTCTGCAGTCTTATCTAAAAGTTAGAGCATATTCTGTTTTGTTCCACCCAGCACTTGGGTTGTTTCCTTGCCCCTCTAAGCCTAGGTCTTTGACCTGTTGTCTCATCTCTTGGGTTTTCTTTAATGGCCTTTGCTCCTCTACCTCATGTGGAGACCAGAACTTTGCCGTTGCCTACGTGCTATGTGTCACTCTTGCCCTCTCTCCACATAGGGCATGCCACCAATGACTCAGGCTCCTCGCATCATGCACCACATGCCCGGCCAGCCGCCCTACATGCCACCTCCTGGCATGATCCCACCTCCAGGCCTTGCACCAGGCCAGATTCCTCCTGGGGCCATGCCTCCGCAGCAGCTTATGCCGGGGCAGATGCCACCTGCCCAGCCTGTAAGTATCTGGTGCCCTCAGGGTCTCATAAATGGAGTATATTAGAAAGAGACTCTTGTAGATTGGGTGGCTTGGGCAGTTTCCTGAGAGGGTGACACTGGAGCAGTGTCCTAAAAGGTGAGCATATAGCAGTGGAGTTGGGTCCTAGGGCAGAGAGGAGTTGACATGTTTCTTGGAGGTCTGAAAGCTTGGAGGGAGATGGGAGCAGTGGCCAGCATCTAGATTTATTCCCTACTGCACACACTGTTGTGTACCAGGCCCTGCTTTGCACTCAAGGAATATAGCAGTGGCCAAGTAGAAAAATGTCTGTCTCTTGTGATCTGTAGTTTATGAGGGGATGGGAGTACAGGTAGCCTGGTGGAAGTGCTAGAAGTCCAAGCAGAGAGAGAGAAGTGGAGCAGCGGGCAGCGCTATGGTCTAGATCCGCTAGACTTGGGCTGTTGTGCTAATGGGCTGCCCTTCCTTCCTGGCAGCTCTCCGAAAATCCACCAAATCACATCCTGTTCCTTACCAACCTGCCAGAGGAGACCAACGAGCTCATGTTGTCTATGCTTTTCAACCAGTAAGTAGAGGCTGTGTGTGAGGGGGTGGTAGCCAGAACACGTCACCATGACAATGTGCCTTAAAATCTAGTGGGAGAGCCCTGTGCTGGCTTAGGCTTGGTAGGAGGGACAGTGACTGAAGGTGCGAAAGCATAGAGAAGGAGAAAGTTCTGGCCGTGCACTTGCCTGTGGGGGATCTGGTGAGGAAAGGGATACTGTGGTTCAGGCACGCTGGCCTTCATCAGTTTTCCTTGGCGCTGGAGAAATGTCCAGGATCTGAGCTTCATTTTTCCAGTCTGTAAAGTGGAGAAATGTGAGTCAGTCATGACAGTACATGCCTGTAATCCCAGTACTCAGAAGGCTGAGACAAGAGGATTACAGCAAGTTCAAGGCCAGCCTGTGTCTAAAACACAGAGGGCAGATGCAGCATATGGTGTCTGTAAAACAGTAAAGTACTGAGTGCTGGGTGAACTGGCAAAGTCAGCATGTACCTGTGGGAGGTGATGACAGGAAATCTTGTGCCTTGCTGATGGAACATAGATAGGTGCAGCCATGTGTACAGAGACTGTGGAGTGTAGGGTGTGGAAGCGGGTAAGTTTGCCTAGTCGTACTTAGGATTATATGTCCTATAGGAATTCTATGTTCCCCACCCGCCCGTCCGCCCTGAGACAGTCTCACTATGTAGTTCAGGTTGATAATCTAACTTACCAGCCCAGGCTGGCTTTGAACGGGGGTGGGGGGTGTGATTTTCCTGCCTCAGCCTTCCTAGTGCTGAGATCACAGGCATGTGCCACCATGCCCTGCTGCATGGTTCTTTATATCGTTGAGAGAATTTTTTTTTTTTTTTTTGAGACAAAGTATCACTGTGTAGTTGGGACTGGCCTTTACCTAGATTGCCCAGGCTGGCCTTGAACTCGAAGTGATCCTTCTGCCGCAGCCTCTAAGTGCTGGAATCACAGGTGTGTGCCACCACCCCTAGCTTCAGAGAGATTGAATAAAGTATAAAACAACTTGTGTAACGTGTCCATAAAACAGTACATGTTTTATGAAAATGACGATGGAAAATGGTGCCCACTACACAAGAGGGTTGCCTAATGGGAAAGGCAGTAAGGAATGAGAAGAAGCAAATTAAAAACACAGCATTTCATGTCATTAAAGTGGGCACAGTGAGCCAGGTATTGTGACACGTGCTGTAATCCTAGCACTCTGGAGGCTGAGGCGGGAGAGTCACAAGTTCAAACCCTGTCAGGACTAGGAAAGGTAGTGAGACCCTGTTAGAAAACCTTAGACAGTAGCAGCAATAAAAATGAATGTAGCATTTGCTTCTGGCTCCAGAAATGGGCTGTGCTGGTAGGTTGGGCTTTCATCTTGATCTAGTTTGTGGTTGGAGGGGGTGTGATTTTTATATTAGAATTTCAGTTTATTGCTGGATATATTTTAGGTGGGATGGGGGTTGGGCATCATCCCTGTCCTCTGCTGGGTTCCAGAATGTTATGGATGCGTGTGCCGCGTTGGGTCCCTGAGGTCTGTGACTCCTTTCCTCAGGTTCCCTGGCTTCAAGGAGGTCCGCCTGGTGCCTGGGCGGCACGATATTGCCTTCGTGGAGTTTGACAATGAGGTGCAGGCAGGGGCTGCTCGCGATGCCCTGCAGGGCTTTAAGATCACCCAGAACAACGCCATGAAGATCTCCTTTGCTAAGAAGTAGTGCCTTTTCCCCAGGCCTGCCCTGCCCCTGCTCTGGGGGCCGCCCCTCCCCTCTCTGGCTCAGTCCCTGAAGGTAAGTCCCCCTTTGGGGGCCTTCTTGGAGCCGTGTGTGAGTTGCATGGTCGCCACACAGCATTGTACCCAGAGTCTGTCCCCAGACATTGCACCTGGCGCTGTTAGGCTGAAATTAAAGTGTTTTTTGAGGTGTGTTTTTTTTCACAATCATTTGTCTGTTTTATTTTTTGTCTTTTGTGGTTCCTTCACTCTATATCAGCACATCCTGGGATTTTGGACTTGGTACTTTGAGATTTCAGCCTCGGGAAAATACATTGTAAGTGTAGTAGTGCTGTTCAAACTCAAATCATATTGCTTTGGCAGTTTTCTGTTCTGTCCCAAATTGGGGTTAAGGGCAGGAAATAGAAACCTAGGGGGCTACCAGGTACAGTTAGGCAGGTTGTGTACTGCATAAGGATGCCCCTTTAAGGGAAGTCTCATTCTGTCTGAATGTTATTCCCACCAGGGTTCCAAGCCCACTCTTGTTTCTGTGTTACTCTATGTTGTCCTCCCGCTCCCCCTTAGTCTTTGTGACCGAGGATTGTCTGTTAGAATTGATGGAGGGACGGGGATACGGCTCATTGCACTTCACCTGCCTGGAGGGAATGAAGGTATACAGCACCTGGTGCAGCCTTTCTCCTGTGGTGGGAGAGTGAGAAGAAAGGCATTGCCGCCTTCACTAACCAGCGCGGTGTTACTGCAGGTTACGGAGAGATGAGCGGAGGCGTCTCACCCGCTGCGCTGTGGTGCGTGGGTACCATGGTCTGCCAATCCTGGTTTCCACTCTGGAACTCCATTATCCCATGGGCAATTCACCTCTCCCACCTTCATTTTCTTCCTTGGTAGAGGAATGTCTCAGAGGCTGAGGCAGGATGATTAGCATGAGTTTTAGGGTAGCCTACACTACAGAGTCATACCCTGACTCAAAGAAAGAAAAACGAGGAATGTCTCTCTTCATACCATAAGATTGGTATTGATTGTCCCTGGCACACAAATGCCACCAGGTGCTTGGAGGCACTTAATAAACTTGAGGGATAGGGTACGTAATGGTAAATAAAATAGCCAAGCTGATTTCAAATGCTGTGTTCTAAGAATGAAACTACTGTGTGGGCCGGGGATTTAGCTCAGTGGCACAGCCTTTGCCTGTCAAAGCATGAGTTCCTGAGTTTGAGTCCTTGTACCAAAAAACCCATTGTGAAATGGTAGGTCCAGGAAGAGTCATGGGTATTGAAGAAGAGCTCAGCTCTTGCAGTATCAGTCAGGGCTCACTAGAGTAATTTTATATACATACTTATTTATATACATACCTACATACATACATGTATGTGTAATATGATTACAAGGTAAAGCCAGGGATTTAGCTCAGCAGCATAAGCACTTGCCTGGCAAGCGTGAGGTCATGAGCTCGATCCCTGGTACCAAAAAAAAAAAAAAGCCAAGGTAAGTGTACAGTGGCCGCCTGCAGAGTCAGGTGTTGTGAAGTGCATGAGGGCTGGCTCTGCTGATTGCCAAATGATCCAATTGCAAAGGTGGAAGCCTGGAACTGTCTCTGGATCCCGTTGGAAGCTGAAGGTTCTGAGCTGGAAGCCTGGAGACAGGAAGCCCAAAGCCATGAGGAAGATGACCTCTGAAGAAACAAGAGAGACTGACTTCTCCCCTTTATTTCCATTCAGGTTATAAGCCTATTGGTTGGTGTCATTCACACCCAGAGGTGGCTCTTCTGTCTTCTGTGATTCCGTTTGGCCACACCTGGAACTAGGCTGATCCAATCAGTTGGGTGTTTATTGCTTATCGACACAGTACTTAAGTGTCAGAAGGTGCGGGTGAGGAGAGCTCATGCTGTAATGAGTGCTGGGATCATAGCCATGGCTCTAGCTGGCTCTTTGGCCCTGACACTAAGCCTGTGTGTGTCCACCCTCCGCAGCCGAGAGAGGTCAAGGTTCTTAGGAGGGATGGTGCTGTGGAAAACAGCCCTCTGCCGTGTGAGTCTCCATCTGAAGCAAGTTTGCAGGTGAGGCACGAGTTCAGACTTCATATCCTTCATACTGACTTTGGCTAGTGACTGAACGCTGAGCCTCTTGTTCGTTCTTTCTTCCTCCTCTCCCCTCCCCTTTTTGTAAGTCATTATCTCACTATGTAGTACAGGCTGGCCTCAGACTCATTGTTCAAGCTTGGCATGGTGGCACATGCCTGTAATCCCAGGAGGATCACTGCAAGTTCGAGACCAACCTGGGCTACATAGGGCTCACTATGAACTGCGTAGTGAGACCCTGCTTTAAGAAAAGGAAAACAAAAAACTACACTATGTAATAAGGAAAGCTGAGGCAGGTGCATCACCACAAGTTTTAGTCCAGCCTGGGCTACATAACCAGACACTATCTGAAAAACAAACGAAAAACACTAGCCCAGGCTGGCCTTGAACTTGTGGCGTTTCGCCTGCCTCAGCCTCCTGAGCACTGGGATTACAGGTTTGTGCAGTCATGCCTGGGTGAGCCTGAGTTCTCTCAGCAAGATATGGAAGCTGAAGTGACAGCATTGCAGTGTGGTTAGGAAATACAGAGCTGAAGTGATCCCCAAAAGTCCTGAAGTTTGTGAGCATCTGGTGGAAGTGCAAAGTCCTGAGCTCAATGTTTGAGAACTAGGTAAAAGAGCAGACTCCAGGGATCTCACTCACTTCATGTAAAGTACGGTTGTGTTTTGTGGTAGCCCTGCTCATGTGGCTGCTGTACAGTGGGAGAGGGGATACAGGGTAGGTTTTGGAAGCAGGCCATCTGGTGCCTGTTTGACATTTGGTTGTGGCAGACAGCCTCTAAGGTGGCTTCTAAAGATCACCCTCTGGTGTTCAGTCTTAATAAAATCTTGGAGTGTGATCTGGACCTAGCGTCCCAGTTCAGGTCTATATAGCAGTCTTCTCTTTTCTGCAGGGAATATGTTCCAGAGCCCTAAGTGCATGTCTGAAGCCACAGATAGTACTCGGATAAATGCCTTTTCCATTTTAACTAGGCATTTGTCACATGCTAAGGCTGGAACTTTTGCAGTTTAGAGGCGTGACAGCAAAATTAGAACAATTTTTTTTTTTTTACAATTTCACAGATACAAGATTCACTTCTATAGAGCTTAGCAACCTCAGCCTGTGATTGTTTTCTGTCCTTAGTAAGTTGCAAACTCAATTTTTCATTTAAAGAGTGGATTTTACAACTTCCTTCAGCATATAGGAACTGGCAGCATCACCGCACTTAATGGTTTGGGGTCCTTTAAATAAGGATGATCTGAACACAGCTTGGGGGTTTTGTCATAGTCAGTCTGATGAGATGGCTACTTAATGTGCAGGTGGTGTATACAGCATGTGTATGATGGACAAAAGGCTAATAATTTACTTAGGCCAGACTGCAGTGAGATGGAGCAAGATTTCATCACAGTATTCTGGAATAGCATGCCAGTTAGAAAATAAGTCATTTATTTCAGGAATTTTCATTTATATTTTCAGACCATGGGTAAGGTCATGAAGTGAAACCATGGATAGGGAATTACTGTGCAGCAAAAATAAAGGGGAGTGGGCTGGAGATTTAGCTCAGCGGTATAAGCTCAGGTCGCGAGTTCGATCCCTGGTACCGGGGGGGGAAAAAATGAAGGGGATTCTCTTCCATGACAGCATTACAAAGATGGGTTATTTCTTGCTTTGGTGAAGCCAGCTGCCTGGTAGTGGCTGTCTGTGGAGATAAGGTGGGACAAGGAGCTGGGAAGGGTCCTGCTCACAGGCAGGGAGGACAGGCTTGTGTGCTGAGTAGCTGAGCTGAGTGCTTCAGTGGCAGCCTGTGCCTTTGGAAGCAGAGTCTCCCTCGTCCGGCCTCAACTGAGACTGCAACCCTGGCTGACGTGTTGGTCGAACTCTGGCAGGAGACCTTGAGCCAAAGGCACTCAGCCAAGCGGGATCCAGATTTCTGACCCACATGAATGCTGGTAATTAATTGGTTTTAAGCTATGTTTTGGAATAATTATACAGAGACAGGTAAGTTGGACTTTGGGGAATGAGGTCATTTCTGTAACACGACTTCATTAATGGTAGGGGCCACAGTCACATTGAGTGTGACACATTAGTGTCTCGATCTTTTTCTTTTTCTTTTTTTTTTTTTTTGAGACAGACTCTCACTGGGTAGTTCAAGATGGTTTTTGTTTGACTGATTGATTGTTCATTTGTTTTTTGAGGCAAGGTCTCACTGTGTAGTCCAGGCTGGCCTTGGACTCTCCTATGTAGTTACCACTGGGCCTCAAACTTGCTGTGATTCTCCTGTCTCGGCCTCCCAAGTGCTGGGATCGCAGATGTACGCCACCATGCCTAGCTAATTAAGTTTTTAAAAGTAATCCTTTTTTTTTTTTTTTTTTTTTTTTTGCACTAGGAATTAAACTCATGACCTTGGGCTTACCAGGCAGGCACTTGTGCTACTAAGTTATATCCCCAGGCCTAACATAATCGTTTTTTAAAATGTTTAAAATGGAAAGTCAAGCATTTATGAATAAAGACACCAGCACACTGACCTCTTACATTCCTCTTCCAACTTACTGCCTTGTGGCCAGAGTTTTTCAAGCATTTATGCTTCACTTCTCAAAGTTTTCAAATTATTTTGAAGCAAATGCAGACATTCATAACAACCCTATTTTCCTAAAGACCACAATGCCATAACATGTCTAAAGTAGCACGGTTAATCCAAAAATGGGTATCTGAGATGAATAAACACTTCTCAGATGATGAAATGCAAACAGCAAATATGTGAAAAAAATGTTTAGCATCACTGGTCATTCAAAAAATACAAATTAAAACAACACAGATTCTACTTCACCCCAGAAAGAATGGCTAATACCAAGAAATCAACCAATAACAAATGCTAGTGGGGCTATGGGACTGTGGGGAAAAAGAAACCCTTTCCCACTGTTGATGGGATGTTGATGGGATGTAGACTGGTATAATGTAAGTCAGTAAGGAGATTCCTCAAAAAATAGGATTAGAGATCCCATTTGACCAAGGTACTGCCTTTCTGTGTATCTTCCTAGAAGAATAAAAACAGCTGGCCGTGGTGGGATACTCCTGTAATCCCAGCACTCAGGAGGCTGAGGCAGGAGGATTGTTGCAAGTCGGAGACCAGTCTGGGCTACAAAGTGAGCCAGAGCCCAGCCTGAACCACATGGTGAGACCCTGTCTCAAAAAAGAAAAGGAAGAAAAATATACTACAGAGACTGGGGATTTAGCTCAAGAGCGTAAGTATCTGCCTGGCAAGCACCAGGTAGTGAGTTTAATCCCCGGTACCAAAAAAAAAAAAAAAAAAAAAAAAAAAAAAAAACACAAAACAGCAAAACCCAAACCATCATACTGCAGTGATATATGCGCACCCATGTTTTTGTGTTTTTTTTTTTTTTTTTTTTTTTTTTTTTTTTTTGTCTTTTTCCTTTTTATCGAACTCACGACTCCCTGCTTGCAAGGCAGGCGCTTATGCCACTGGGGCTAAACCTCAGCCCCCTGTTTTTGTGCTTTTGAGACAGTCTTGCTGTGTGGTTCAGGTTGGCCTTGAGCTCATTTTGTAGCCCAGGTTAGTCTTGAACTTGCAACAGTTCTCCTGTCTCAGCCTCCTGAGTGCTGGGGTTACAGGAATGTGCCGCCACAACCAGTCTGTAATAGCTAGATCTTGAAAAAAAAAAAATAGCTAGATCTTGGAAACAACCTAAATGCCCATGGGCTGAGGAATGGTTAAAAAAGATGCATTTTTATACATTGGAGTACTACTCAGCCATAAAGAAGGATAAGCTAGAGACTTACAGGTAAATGGATGCACCGTGAGAACACACTTGTAAGTGAAATAAGTCAGACATGTGTGGTAAACATTGTATTGTCCCACTAGTTCAGAAGCTGAAACTATATGTATTGTGTATTGTGTGCATACATAATCCATACATAATGTATATGCCATTAGTACTCCCTAATTATTGTTCTGAAATTTTCTTTTTAAAATAGATTTGACAAAAGCTTTAAAAAGTAATGAACCACAAAAAATAAAAATAAAAATAAAATAGGGTTTTTGTCTGTTTGTTTTGTTTTTGGTTCTGGGGATTAAAACCAGGCCTCCCTGCATCCTAGGCAAGCCTGCTACACTAAGCTACATCCCCAGCCCATTCTTTTTTTATTTTAAATTTTGAGACAGGATCTTGTTAAATTGCTGGAGCTCCTGCTTCAGCATTCTGAGTTGCTGGGATTACTGGCAGACTGGCACCTGGCTTGGCTGAAAAACAAAAATCCTTTTTTTCTAGTACTGGGGGGTGAACTCAGGGCCTTTGCACTGAGTTAGACTCAACCTTTTAATTGTTGAGACAGCTTCTCTTTAAATCACTTACGTTGCCCAAGCTGGATTTGAGTTTTCCTTCCTCTAGCCTCCGCCTCCTAGAGTGCTGGGATTACAGGTAGGTGCTACCATACTCAAAAATAGGTTTTTTTTTAGTTGGTTTGTTTTTGAGATAGGATCTTGATATGTAGCCCTGACTGGCCTTGAAGTTGTGATTCTCCTGCCTCAGTCCCCAGAGTGCTGAGGTTACAGGCATATGACACCATACTCAAAATAGTTTTTAAACACCCCTGGATACCTGATTGTATTGAGATCTTAAAAGTTTGTATATACATATTTCTGTATGCATTACCAGAAGCTAACAAAGCCCCAACTGAAACATTGATGCGTTTCAGGTCTTCATACACTTAAAAATATTTATTTTTCGAGGCAGGATCTTACAGGCTAGCCTTGAATTTTTTCTTTTTTCTTTTTTTGGTTGGGGGAGCCGTGGCAGGGTCTAGCTAAATATTTCAGGATGATCCTGAACTCAGTGACTAGCCCCAGGTGACCACCGATTCAAGGTGATCTTCAACTTCATTAACACGGGTTACCAGCGTGCACCACCATGCCTGGCCTTTTATTTAATAGCCCCTTCAAAGGTGGTGAAGAGTATCCACTCAAATCAGTAGAATATATTCTTAGTGAATGTACTGTAATTCTTTGCCTTTATTAGTGTCTTCATTTTGAGGATGAGGAAGGTGGAACTGTGTGGTCTGGGGGGTGAACAGTCAGCCAGGACATTCTGTAGCCCAAGGCCCAACATCAAATATTCACTCAGTACCTGTGGGCTGGGGCAGTTCTGGTAATCAAAAGGCTGCCTTGTTCTCTTCCTCAACACAGGAAATTCCAGGGTGGTTTTCTATACTAGCTGCTCTGGTTCTGTCCCAGGAGGGGAGAACTGAGGGGTCTGAATACCTAAGCTGATTCAAGAGAAGAAGAAATCAAGTATCTCGCTCGAGCTGTTTGTCTGGGCCTCTGATTGTCCAGGAGGTTGCTGTCCCTTGGAATGGCTTGAGTTGCTTTGGGTCTATATGCATATTTTCTTGGACAGATGGGCCTCACCTTGTTCTTGAAATATTTCTGGCTGGAGAGCAGCCTCTGGGTGGTGGTGAAATTTGGGACTGGTTTGGGGCAGGGACAAGAAGAAAACACAGGTTTCCTTGTTCCTCTGGAGAAGGAGAGGCAGGAGGAAATCAGAGTCCCCGTTCCCCACTTGGTTCATTCTTGCTCATAGTCCATGATGGCGTGGTCCCCAGTACTGCTCGGTGCCATCATTTTGCTGTCTATCCTCTCAGGTCCTAGTGGGGCAGGTCGCCTCATGCCCAAGCTGGCTGACCGGAAGCTGTGTGCTGATGAGGAGTGCAGTCGTAAGAGGGGGGCAGGGAGCTGGGGGCTTGGGGTGCTGGTTTGTGCATGGGGTACTGTTGTTCCCTTTTCTTTCTTTTCTTTTCCCTTTTATTATTACTTCTGCAGACCCCATTTCCATGGCTGTGGCCCTTCAAGACTATGTGGCTCCCGACTGCCGTTTCCTGACCATACAAAGGGGCCAAACTGTATATGTCTTCTCCAAGCTGAAGGGGCGAGGGCGGCTCTTCTGGGGAGGCAGTGTGAGTCATGGGAGAGGGAAAAAGGGAAAGATAAGGGCTCTGGTGAAAGTAAACTCCAGCTTTGTCCCTGAAAGAGAATCATGGTGGGGAGTGGTTTAACTCAAATAATGATATTTGGGGGAGGGAATAGTTTGTGGCATACTTTTATTTTGTTTGGCAAAGGGCAATTTAGTGCCAGCTTCCTTTTTAGACACTGAGAATAAAATAGCAAATGATCCCTTTTATTTTTCTTTGGTGGAGGGAGGGTACTGGGAATTCAACTCAGGACTTCAGGCTTGCCAGGCAGGTACTGTACCACTGAGCTAAATCCCTAGCCAGACCCCTTTTATTCTAATGGAGGGAGACAAGCAATAAGCAAGCTGTCAAAAATATCAGCAAGTGAGCTGGGGATTTAGCTCAGTGACTCAAGCACTTGCCTGGTAAGTACAAGGTCATGAGTTTGATCCCCAATTCCCCCCACCAAATAATAAGTGGGTGGGGGATATAGCTCAGTGGCACAGCAGGTCCTGAGTTTGATTGCTGATACCTAAATAAATATAACATCAAATAAACAGTATGACAATATATGCCTATAATCCAGTAATTTGCAATACTGAGAGCTGAGGCTGGACATGGGAGGATTGAAAGTTTGAGTTTATGTTGAACAATTTAGCAAGATGCTATTTCAAAATTTAAGAAAAGTGTAGGGATGTGGCTCACTGAAAACACCTTAGGTTCAGTCCTTGGTAGTGTATGCACACACATACACACACACACACACACACACACACACACACACGAGGAAATATTTGCTGCCCCTGTCTTACACAGAAAAGCTAGATGGATGCTTTATTGTTTTATTTCTTCAAAGTGGTGGGTTTTAAACTTTGGGTCTCATGCATACCAGGCAAGTTAGGTTACTACTGGAGTGGTTAAGGAGGGTCTCTAATAGGTGTTACTTAAACTGAGACTGAATGATGAGGATGGAACCAGACATGAAGATCCAGGAGAGGAGAGGGTCCAGGGACCTTGAACAGGAGTGGGCTTGTCATCTTCTCAGAATGACTTTTAACTCCTCTGCCCCAGGTTCAGGGTGATTACTATGGAGACCTGGCTGCTCGCCTGGGCTTTTTCCCTAGTAGCATTGTCCGTGAAGGACAGACTTTGAAACCTGGGAAAGTTGATGTGAAGACAGATGTAAGTGTCCTGGGGGGTGGCAGGGTTCTGGAGAGAAGATCCTTGGCTTGTGATGGCATGCAAATATGCCTCTATTCTTGGCTGTCTGCTGGCCTTGCTGTATGTGCTGGGACAAATTCTTAGGCCTTAGTTTTGTCACCTGTAAAATGGGGAGTGATTTATAAACCCCAGTCTAGTTGGGAGATGCAGAGGCTAGAGAGTGCTAGGCTAATCTACAGAGTTCTTGTGTGGTAAAACTTGGCCCCTGAAGCTACAACAAAAACCATTTAATCTCTTGTGGTGTAACACGTTTTCTCTTCACTGTTTTCCTTTCTCTTTTTCAGAAATGGGATTTCTACTGCCAGTGAGTTCAGCCTACCACTCTCCCTACTGGTTCCCTTCTGCTTTTACACAAATACACCAGTTGTGACAAACTGCTGGTCTCTGTGATTTTTGGGGTGGGGCAAGGATGGACAAAAGAAATAGTTCTTAGGTTCCTGCACCTAACCAATCAACCCTTCGGAAAGTGGCAGCATCAGTGGTTGCTAGGCAGAATTTTACTGATAAAAGCCCTTTGCCCCATGCCAAATACTGGTGGTAAGGCTCCTAACTTTTGATCTGGTACACAAGGGAGAATATAGAATAGCCTTAACAGCTTAACTGGGGAATTGTGGTGTCTTTTATATACAACGAGAGAGTGTTAAACTATTGGGGATGAGCCAGTAGGACCATAAAGAGAACATTACTCTTAGCATAGAGGTTTGTTTCTTTTTTAAAACTTTATTTTTGGAGAAAGGGTTTCACTATGCAGTTCAGGCTGGACTTGAACTTACTTTGTAGCCCAGACTGGCTTTGAAGTCGCAGTGATCCTCCTGTCTCAGCCTCCCTGGGTGCTGAGATTACAGGCATGTACCACCACGCCCGGCTCTGTGTGTGTGTCTGTGTGGCCTTTTAGAGACAGGGTCTGGCTATGCAGTTCAGGCTCAGGCTTTCTCTTTCTTTGTTTCTTTTTTCTTTTTTTTTTCCATACCAGGGACCACACGCTTGCAAGGCAGGCGCTTATGCCGGGGAGCTAAATCTCCGGCCCTTTCTGTTTCTTTTCTTTTTTTTTTTTTTTTTTTTTGGCTTTTTCATTTTTATCGGTACCGGGGATCGAACTCACGACCGCCTGCTTGCAAGGCAGGTGCTTATGCCGCTGAGCTAAATCCCCAGCCCCCCCTTTCTGTTTCTTGAGGCATGGTCTCGGTATGTAGTTCAGCCTGGACTTGCACTCACTTTGTGGCTCAGTCAGGCCTCGAACTCGCAGCAATACTCCTTACACATTTTACCAAGTGCTAGAATTACAGGCCTGTGCCACCACATGTGACTCGGTATTGAGGTTTCTTGGAGAATATCTGCCAAAGGATGTGGGAAGCAACCTGCGCATATCTTCCCAATTTTCTTCCATCCTCCCTTCAGGGTAAAAAATCACATCCACTGGCTCAAGATTTGCTTCCCTTCCAGCTCTGTCAATTCTGTCCTTGCCCCTTCTTTGCATTCTTTTCCCCTCTTTCAAGTGTGCTTCTGCCAGGTCTACAGTCTCCACCCTGCCTCCGAACTGCTAACCAGATCCGTCCCAACACCGGACTGAGCATCTCTATACCGCCCCTTACCACTTGCTTCAGCCAATCTCTTGTACTGGCCCCGCCCCTTTTGGCTCCGCCCTTCTCGCGCCACCAATCCAGGCTCTTCGTCCCACCCCCTGCCGGTGGAGTCCACCAATCCCTCTCTTCGGGAAGCGTGGCCTGGTGTCCCGCTGCTGTAGCGGATCGCGCTGGAGCCGAGGGGGGAGGGGTGGAGGCGGAAGTGGCGGTGCCGGGTCCGGGAGTAGGAAGGAGCAGGGGCTGCAGCCGGAGTGGAGCGGCTGCCAGCCGAGGAGCAGGCGCGGCTGCGGCGCCATATTGCGGCCCTCTGCGGCCGCATCCGAGTCATGGCCGAGACATACGGTGAGAGTGGTGGACCGACGCTAGGGCCTGGGGTCTGCGCCCAGAGGATGCGGCCTGTGGGGAGGGGCGGGGCCTTATGCCAGGGGGCGGGGCATGCTGCTATGGGGGCAGGGCCTAATTGGATGCTGGGAGGGGTTTCGTGAAGCTGGGGCTGAGCTTCATTGATTTGGGTGGAGCTTTGAGGGTCTGGTTCTTGGGTTAAATAGATGTGGGCGGGATCGGAGGGAGGCAATCTTGAGGTTTCAGAGTGGGCTTTCCTGTTTCGGGGTGGAGTCTGAGTGAAAGGGTAGAGGCTGACTGGACGCTGGGATCCGTGGGCTAAAGGGAACCCCAATAGTGCTCTGGTCCCTCGGGCTGGTTTGGCTCAAAGATCTGGAATGGGTTTGGAATGGGTTGTCCGTAAATGTAGACAGAGATGGGACTTAAGCTTGAGAATAGGGGCCAGAGATCTGGCAGAATGTGAGAAGAGGAGGTTGGGAATTGGGAAATCAATATGAATGTTAAGTACTTGGTGAGCGGGGGCCAGGGAACCGTAGAAGGCTCTGGTGTAGAAGTCAGAGGGAGCTCCGTTCTTTCAACAAATGTGGAAAAGCAGAGGGATCACATGCAAAGATCTTGAGGTGGGAACCAGTTTGGTATGTTCAGGAATAGACTGGAGGCCAGGGGCCACTGCTCAGCAGTTAGAGGGTGGTAGAAGTGAAAAGGGACAGAAACTGGATTCTTGTCCTTGATTAAATGGTTTCGAAGAGGCTTTAGCAATATGGTAACGAAGCTCTTGGACTTCAGAAGCTTTTGGTCTGGGTTTGAATCTTAGCTCTGCCTAGCTGTGTGACCCTGGGCAAGTCCAGATAGCTTCTCTAGCCTCAGTTTCCTCATTGGGACAGTGGGGATGCTTTTACTATACCTCCCCTCTACAGTTTTTCTGAAGATTTCAGCGAACTGTTGATATAAGTAAAGATACACAGAATGTGCATAAGACATGTGTTAAATACCTAAGAATAATCTTGGGCCCAAAGTATGGCTCAGCGGCAGAGCACTTGCCTTTCCTAGCATGCACAAAGCCCTAGGTCCAATGCCCAGCAGTTCGAAACAGAAAAGGTAAGCTATTAATCTTCTTGTCTAGGGCATTGTTTCTACCTGGCTGTTTGTCTTCCTCTAACTTTTCTTGGTTTCCTTCTTTTTTCTATATCTTTCTCTTCCTATGGGTGTCCTTGATTTTGGCTACATTTGTTCAGACTTCCTCTTCAAATTCCTGGTGATCGGCAGTGCAGGAACTGGCAAATCATGTCTCCTTCATCAGTTCATTGAGAATAAGTGTGAGTTTCTGGCACTAGTCGTGGGATCCCCTAGTTGTGGACATGGGTGTGCGGTGGTGCAGGTGGGCAGCTAGTGAAGTGGGTGGGTCTGGCTGTGGGTCCGACCTCAGCGCTGGCGGCATGCTTCTTCCATTGGTGTTTGCTCTTAGGTTTTCAGTCACCCCAGCATTGAGAGTGGGTTGGTTGAGACACAGGAGGCCGAGGAGGGTAGAGTTCCTCTGAGCCTCTGCACTGCCTCTTCTCTCCTTTTTCTTTTTGCTGTTAGTCAAACAGGATTCCAACCACACGATCGGCGTGGAGTTTGGATCCCGAGTGGTCAACGTGGGTGGGAAGACTGTGAAGCTGCAGATTTGGGACACTGCTGGCCAGGAGCGATTTCGGTAGGTGGGCTGGGTCCAAGGAGTAAGGAGAGCGAATGTGTGTGGTTACTCAAAGATATAGCAGTGGGAGTGAGGAGACATTGAGAGCACAGACAAAGCAGAAGGAGGGAGGGAGGTAGACTTGGTCGACAGGTCCATATAGCCTGGGAGAGAGGGAAAGAGAAAGACAGAGACGAGACAGAGAAAGAAAAGCATGGCACTGTGGTTATAGCAGGGTGAGAGCTCTTGCCTAGCACACACAAGGCCCTTAGTCTAATCCCTAGCACCATAAAAAAAAATTGGTGAAGGGGACCCTAGAACAGAGAGAGAAGGAGAAATTTGAAAAACAGACATCTTCAGAAAGAGAAAGAAAAAGACAGATGCTAGATGTGGTACAGCACGATGGGAGGCTGAGGCAGGAAGATTATAAATTTGAGCTCAATCTGGGCAATTCTACAGCTTAGTGAGATCCTATCTCTGATGTATTTATTTATTTATTTATTTTTGGCATGACCCGGCACTTGTAAGGCAGGTGCTTATGCCGTTGAGCTAAACCCTGGCTCTCCTATCTCAGATTTAAAAATTAAAAAAGAGGGGCCTAGAATTGGCATGGCAGTGCATGCCTATAATTTCAGTACTTGGGAAGCCGAGAAGGAGTACAAGGCAGTAAGATTGTAAGTTTTAAGGCCCGTAAGACCTATTCAAAAATAAACAAGCAAACATTAAAAAAAAAAAAAAAAAAAAGGAAAGAAGTGCTATGCCTGTGCATCAATCACTATGAAGGCTTCTAGGTTCATTCCAAAATACTACAGGGAGGGGGAGAGAGAGGGAGAAGAAAATGATGATGAAGGTCATAGGAGGACACAAAGGAAAACAGGTCAGAGGCAGAGAAAACCAGAAGTTTGGATAGGAATAGCCAGGAGGATGGAGAAATGCATGTTATAAACACATGATCACGTGGAGTTTGGCTCCTGAGAGAAAAAGAAATATATAGGGCCCAGCACATAGTAGGTCTTCAGAAAATGCTTGCAGGAAAGTTGACAGACATGGAAACTCTGAGAGAGGGTCTGAGAAACAGAGGTAGGGGGAAACAGAACCCAGTCCATGGAGAATGCGGTCTCTGGGCAGCACATAGTAGCTGCTAAGTTAGTATTTGTGTGTTGATTGAGTGCATGAAGTCTATAGAGGTCAGAGACAAAGACAGTGAAGAAGAGATGGGTGTGTGGACTGGGCTAGATTCCCACTAAGGACACAATAATATGGAATGGCTGCATGGATTTTCATGGGCTCCAGCTTGATGAGACAGGGACATGCAGAGTTGGCCACATTAGGAGAGAGACAAGGAGATGCTGTATAGCACTTGGCCAGGTTCAGGTTGACAGGAGATGCTCAGGAAATGTTGAATGAATGAATGAATGAATTCAGAGGAAAAAATGTGCATATGAGACAGCCAGAGCTGGGAGAAAATAGAGAATTAAAGAGATACAGCTGAGGGTTTACCCTAGAGGCAGAGTGCTTGTCTAGCCAGGCCCTAAGTAAGATCTCTAGCACTGTAAAATTTTAAAAAAATTTCTATAGGCTGGGTGTGGTGGTGCATGTCTGTAGTCTCAGCACTTGGGAGGCTGAGGCAGGAGGATCTCTGGGAAGGATTGCCATGAATTTGAGGCCAGCGTGAGCTACATAATGAGTTCAAGGTCAGACTGACAGAGAGACACAGACCAAGAAGTAAACTAATGTAGAGATACAGAGGGGAAAGGACACAGAGAGACTCACA